TTATTTATTTACAAATCATATTTTGGCAGAGTAATTGCTTTTGGAAATTGGGAATCAAGTTTTGCACCCCAAAAGATATAAAGTAAACAGTTTGACAACGTTGGTACCAATAACTATAACTATAATAAGGGTTCGTTTGACATGATTTTTGAAAAGTCAAAAAAAGTCTTTGAACCGTCGGACTGATTTTATAGAAGTACTTCTTATAGTTAGAAGTGTTTTAGAGGAATTCGGTTCATTATGACTTCATTCAAACGCTTTTAAAAATTAGTTTTTAAACAAAAATTAAGATACATTTCTTCAAAACTTTTCATAGAATAATCTCTTTACTAAGCTTATGTTTGGCGTTTTGCCTTATTTTCTTTACATTCGTTATTACAATCATATTCAGAGCTTGTTTGGAAGTGATTAAAATCAGATTAAAATTGAAAATATAGTTGTTGGAGTTGACTTTTATTAGACGAGTGGGACCCAATAACGGCTATATTTTCAATTTTAATTGGATTTTAATCCTTCCCAAACAAGCACTTAGATTGTTCTGCAGCAATGGGTTCACGTGTTGCTATTGGAGTTGACTTTTATTAGACGGGTAAGACCCAATAACGACTATATTTTCAATTTTAATTGGATTTTAATCATTCCCAAACAAGCTCTCAACATACTTGTTTTTAAAAATATCGAAATATTTAAGGATGACAAAATACATAGTTCATTTTAAAATTATCAAAATATTTAAGGATGACAAAATACCTTATCCTTCCCGTTTCATCGAGGAATTGGGATGGGGACGAAGAATGTTGTATCTACTCTGACTCTTCTTAACTCTTATATTTTTACTTTTAAATTTAAATTGTATTTAAAAAATAAATAGAATACGAATATTTCAATCTCCGCTTAAGTACTTTTTGTTGATTAACATGTTCGGATTATTTAATTTTTTTCTTACTTTATATATAAAGGTTAATTATTCTACAAATTTATCTTTTTACACAACTTACTCATTTTTAATCAAAGCTTATAAATTTACTTTATTCATTTTAAACTTCCTTTTTTTACTCAAATAAATTCACTTATATAAGCAAACTTTTAAAAGGTAAACCAAACATGCCACCGCAAATTATTCCAAAACGACAAGAGCAAGAGACTTCCAAGTTCCAAAGTATCCATAGCAATTCTCGCAATTTTTTGCACTACATTTTTTACTCAAATCGAATTAAAATTAAAAAATTAACCGTTATTGTTGGACGCTACAAGTAATTTTCAATATAGAAAAGTAAGCAAAACTCTATAAATTCACTTTCTTTTTCTTGTGCTAAGTGATGACTTGTAGACACTAATGAAATTTTATTAGTACAGCTTACCTCATTCGTCCAAAATAATTAGATTAAAATTCATTTTGCTTTTTTTGGAATTCAAAAGAAAATTCACAATAATATTTCGATTTTGCAATACGAGTGCTTCTATTTATCACATTGTAAGTTGTAACAGGGTACTACTGTATTGAACTTGAACTAGTTCAATACAGTATAATTTATAGTCTGATATTATATTGTATAACAAGATATATAAGAAAAAAAATATTGTGAACAAAAATGCAAGATACGTCAAAAACATCAAGAACACATGTACGATTTAAGAGAAGTTGGGATAAGGATTGTTTGATTCTTTGATGAAGACATAGATTTTAGTTGAAGATTTTGTTCAAGGAGTGTTGACCTCTACCTAAATCAACTGCCTTGATTTGTGCCATGTTTTGTGGAAATTTAGAACTCATATTTTCTATGGACATAAATTCAGAAAGTTAGTGGGTTTTCAATGACTACAAGTATGGCTTCTCATAATGGAAATATGATAAGAGATTAGATGGGTATTATTGGGCTCCTTAAAGGCACGTTTGGCTCTTTATATTAGATTTAATAAAGGAGTAAAATAATTTTTTTAATCTTTATCTTGTGTTTGGTGCAATTAGTACTCGGATTAAATTAATTCAAAATGCTTATCCTCATTTATTCAACCTTATAAAATTAATACGCTAAGGTTGATTTAGACCGTATTTTAAGAATTCAATTTATAAGCAGAGATATAATTTATAATTAACAAATCACTTATAAGCAAAATCTAGTTATAAGTAAAAAAATCACTTACAAGTAAAAATTACTTACACGTGAAAAAAACATTTTTAAACGAAAAGCTTATGTATTATAAGCAAAAAAGTATATAAATGAGAAAATTCACTTATAAGTAAAAATTTCATTTAGAAGTACAACATTTATGTATGAGTAAAGATTAATTTGTTAGTTATTAAAATGTTTATATCAGTGGTAAATCAATTTTAAGTTAAAAATAACTTTATAACAGATTTACTTGTGAGCAAAATATACTTATAAGTAAAAAAATTACTTAGTAAAAAATCACTTATAAGACAAAAACTTAATTTTATGTAAAAACTTCAATGTGAAAAGTAATACTCATAACTAAAAAATTCACTTATAAGTTACTAATATAAAAGTCACTTTATATTGGAAAATTACTTCAATAAAATAATATTTTTTTCTTTATTTTTCAACGATCCATTCTCCAAAAAAAATTATTCCAAAAATTATAATAACAAATAATGAGGGCCAAACGGGAACATAATTTTTTCTCTATTTCTTAACCACACATTTTAGGAAAAAAATCATTTTTCACTTCAAATAACCTCTAAATTATAACGAGACGAGACGAGACGAGACGAGACAAGACATTTTTTTGTTTTTTTAATTCACAATTAGCTCTCACTTGGTGTTACTATTCACCGTGTTTGAAAAGCGCAAAAAATGCAGACTAGTCATGTAACATGGATACGGTTCCTCGATCGGATATTTGCCCACCCTGCTTCATTATTCATTACAATGACTAACGCTGAATTTTTTGTTTGATTTTGTTATATTCATTTTTAAATCTATTGAAATATTCAATGTAGCTAGATCTTTTATAACTTCCAATACACTATTCCCACTTCTAACCTATTAAAGTAAATGAAAAAAAAAATCTTTGAAGGGTCAAGTCAGAACAAACAGCGAGGCCTTCATTTAAAAAAAAAGAAAAGAAAACAACAACAACAACGATGAGATGATCAACATGCTGTTATACCCAACATAAATCTTAATTTTCCATTATTTGTTTTGTAAAATGACAACTTGAGTATTTGTCAAAATAAACTTCAATAAACTTACAGGTCATAAGCACACAAAATAAACCATATTGATTCAAAAAATAATAATAAGTGATATGGAGTTTTTTTTTATCGGTAAGCCGTCTCTAATTTGCACCTACGTACTGAAGTGTCACGTCAAATGTAGGGTATGCCATAGTGTGACTTCTTTGGCTATCCCTTGCATGATTCTGGCCAAAATAATGCTACTCAAACATGGATTGCGAACAAGGGCTGAGACAGGTGTTGCGTTGACAGCACCTGTGTGGTTAAGTGGTTTTTTCCCCCTAAATATCCACTTCTTCTAGATAATAGAAAGGAAGCCCATAATTCTATTAGGCCCTATTTGATTACAAAGAATTCCATGAAAAATGTCACATTTAAGGAAAACGAATTTCACTTTAGCCGTTTGATTGCAACGTGAAAATGGAAATCGAATTCAAATGTACAACCATTTTAAGCTACATTTTCTTTGTTTTCATAGAAAACGAATTCCTATAGGTTTTGTGGATTTTTATTTTTCAATTAACATGAAATTGAAATTTCACATTTGCCTATCAAGCGAATCCTTAGTATTTTTGGTTAGTTGAAGTAAAAAATAATAAGAAAATTTGCTGACACGAATTATCAACCAATGTTCTATTCAAAATTCAGTGTCAACTCCAACAATCAAATTTGTCTACTTTTGATTGCCACTCTATACCTCCAATTCTCGATCCACGTAGGATAATGAAAATAGAATTAGATTTTAAGGTGCATTAACATTTGGGTTTTGCTTGGGTGTACAGATGGGGTTCAACAGACCCCACAGACACTTACACGAGGTGGGTCCCCTGCCTCAATAAAAAAATTACCCCACCCCACCCCGCTCTCATGAATGGACAAACTTTTTATGGGAGCTAGATTTTCTCAATATTTTTCCGTAAAACTCACGTCGTAAAACTGTAAAAGTACTACCATAGAAAGCTTGCTCAAATTTTTCTACATTTACTCCAAAATCCATATAGGAACATCTACAAACAAAATATCACCAAGACAAGTAACTCTTCAAGATTCTTTTAGGGATCTTAACGAGTCGAGTAGAAATTCGAGACTTGAGCTCGATTCAAATAAAAAATGGTTTGAATTTTTTTTTTACTCGAGCCGAACTTTTGCTCTACAAAAAATCTAGGCTTATCCTGAACTTTCGACACGGGACTTATCGAGTCAAGCCGACTCATAGTTTTTTTTTATATAGGCACGTAAGTAGGCAGTGTGTAGCTAGCTACTACTACCTCCATTAGCTTTGAAATTTTTATTTTTTCAAGGCTTCACCTGTAACACGAGCCAGCCCGAGCCTCAGGTCTGGCCAACAACCAGAAATGGGGTTGAACTTTTTCTGGGCCGAGCTACGGGCTGTTCAAGAAACCTAATTTTTGCAACTTTAGAAATAAGTTGTAGGGAAATTAATTATAAGCAAAAAGTGAAGGAATATAATCGATTTCACAAATACCCTTGTCAATGACTACTCACTACTTGTAAATACAAAAAAGAAAGTAACATAAGTCTATAAATCAGACCAAATGTGTATAAAAACACTCAATTCACACTCTCCCCAATCCCATTACTTGCCCACAAAATTGACTCATAACTGAACAGGGGAGAGTAGAGGATAAAACAGGTATGAAGTCTGAATTTTCTCCTGTAAAATTCTCAACCCACATTGTTGTTTAATTCAATAAATATAGACAACAAAAGTGGAAGACAGTGCAGATCTATTGATTTTCCATTTTTCTTCAGTGAATTATCTGTTTGAAGGGAGAAAAAAATGGCTGAGGTTTCTGCTAAGAGTTTCATACCTGAATCATTACCGGGGGCGTCGGCCAACATTGCTGGGCAAATTGGGCTGCTGTGGGAGCTAATCAGAGCACCATTGATAGTTCCATTGCTGAGAATTGCTGTATACATATGCTTAGCCATGTCAATCATGGTGTTCATTGAGAGGCTTTATATGGGGATTGTGATCATTCTTGTTAAGCTCTTCTGGAAAAAGCCCCAAAAGAGGTACAAATGGGAAGCAATGGAGGATGATCTGGAGAGTGGCAGTGCAGCATTCCCCATGGTCCTTGTTCAGATCCCCATGTTCAATGAAAAAGAGGTCCGTGTATTTGAATTTATTCTAATTTCATCTTAAAAGGTTAATCTCGTTGAGTGCTTCTCCACAATGTGGAATTTTACTAGAGACGGGTCAAATTAATCAGTTGTTGTTCGAATTCTAAGCACACAAACTCACACAGGCATTTTAACAAACATTTGGTGGTCATCTAGTTGCATTACGATGTACACAAACTCAGACAGTCATTCTCACAAACACTTTGTGGTGAATGGCTTGCATTTTGAAATTTCTTGATGATTTGGAATCTGGGTCTGAGAGAAAGAAAGCTGAGATTTGTTGTTTTTGGACAGGTTTATAAGATCTCCATTGGTGCAGCATGTAATCTTTCATGGCCAGCTGATCGTATGGTGATTCAAGTACTCGATGATTCCACTGATCTTATCATCAAGGTAATCCAGAAATCCCTAAACACAGATCCGTTTTGACCATCAAACGGCTGCTTATTTTGATATAATTTTTGTATAACTTATTTTTAAAAATTCAACAACATATTTCTTGAATTTCTTTGTTGAGTTTGATATCACTGATGTAATAGGATATGGTTGAGAAAGAATGCATTAGGTGGGCGAGTAAAGGATTAAACATTAGATATCAAATTAGGGAAACAAGAGGAGGCTACAAGGCTGGAGCTCTTAAAGAAGGGTTGAAACGTGACTATGTAAAAGAATGTGAATATGTAGTCATTTTCGACGCCGATTTCCGGCCCGAACCAGATTTTCTTCGGCGGTCAATTCCTTTTCTAGTCCACAATCCCGACATTGCTCTCGTCCAAGGTCGCTGGAGATTTGGTAAGCCTCACAATCCTAGTTTAAATTAGACTTGATCGTTTTTTCTTCACATTATCTCAACAAACGCCGGGTCGGGTCGGGTCGAATAGAGTGGAGAGGACCTTGACCAGTCTAGAACCTGGGCAGATACTCAATTGAATGGCAATGTTAAAATGTATTGACAGATTTTTTTGATATATATTTTTTAAATTAAAAAATTACAATCTATTAAAATAAAGGAAATTGCAATCACGGTACCAAATATTTCACTTTTATACAGACTTGATCCAAATTTTTATTTTGTTGCACCCGCGGTACCAAACCTTTAAAAAACTCTCATCTAAAGTCCAATAAATGGTAACTTTACATTTTTTATAATAAAATAACTAAATCAAATAATTAAAATAGAAAACCAACAAACCAAATAACTTCTTTTCTATCCAGTCCACACGTACCAAAACCGCCACCACTACCAGCCAGCTCCACCTCACCCATTCAACGCCGGTGCCACCGCTATCTCCTCCGCCTCCACCACACCACAACATTGCCACCTCAGAAAAGACGCTCGGCTTGAAGAATGAAATTTCGAGCCTCTTTTAAAAATCTTCAAACCCAATTGCAAATGCAGGCATAGTCATTTTTAGGGACAAGATTTTCTTGCAACACCAAGATAGGAAAGAAGAAGACAATAGAAGAACAAAGAGAAGGAGAACGGAAATTAAAAAGAAAAACTAATCAATCAATCCAGAGACAAGTCATTTGGTTTTTTATTTTACTTATTGATTTTCGTTATTTTATTATAAAAATGTAAAATTTCCATTTTAATCCTTTAAAATTAGTCAAAATAGATCAATTATTTGATCAACTAACGGTCAAATCAATAGTTTCCATCTATTTGGACTTTATATGCGGGTTTTTGAAATGTTTGATACCGTAGTTGCAACAAAATAAAGATTTGGTCAAATCTACATAAAAGTGAAATATTAGGTACCGTGATTATAATTTTCCCTAAAATAAATACAGAACCTGTCGGTGAACCTCAATTTCTTTTTCCATTTAAATTTTTTTACTGTTGGGTTCAAAGCTTTAACCGCCCTATGGTCGGTTCAAAAGGTTTTTTTCTCTTACTGTTCATATTTCGGATTGAGTTCATTCCTGTAATCGGATGAACTGAATTGTAATTGAAGTTTTACCTTTTTTTGGGGTCGATGCTCGGATTGATTGACACAAGTAATGTTTTCTTGGAATTCCATAACACGTGGAAGTGTCGGTGGTCTTGCTATACTGTCACTGTATTAATTACTACATATGTCTACGTGTATGTTGTAACACAATAAAGTCAAAATTTGCATGTGCACGATTGTTTATTTTTTGTCGTGTCCACTCGTAAAGATTTTTTGCAGATCGCATTGTGTCGTGGGGTCCATGTCTATCTTCTTCTTCTTTTTTCCTTTAAATATATTGACTTCCTAATTAAACCTTTTACAATATGTTAATACTTGGTGAAGGTATGAAAGTGTGATTATTTTGAATAACTACTTTCACATGAGCTCTTAATATTTCGTGCGATTCACAATTGTTATCAACTTTTTATACATATATTTTATAAATTTTTATCAAATCCTGCTAAAATTTTTATCAAAACTTTGTCAAACGACTCTTAAATTTTAGAGGTTCAATGCATAGCGGGTCGTCTAACTTCTATAGAGTTATATTTGAGTCACTGACATATCATTGGGTGTAATTGGATCAACCAACTTCAACGTTTGCAAATCTAGCAATTTTTCGTTAATTTAATCAATGTGCTCTGCTAATTTTACGGTTAAAAGTTAATTGACATCCACATTAGTTGTTCGTCAATTTTAAAATTCAGGTCATCAGAGCACGCTAATTAGACTAACAAACGTGGACGTAGTGGCCAAATTTAAAGGTAAATCGACGTTGGGTGATCTAATTGTACCAAATTAAAGATGAATGAGTCGACTGCAACCCTGCTCAAAGTTGATGACCTGCAACCCTCAATTATATATAGGAAAGACAGAATATACGTGTGGCTCATAGTCTTATCCATTTAATATATGGAAATTCGTTAGCCTAATTTTAGTTATTATTATTTCTTATGTATAGTCTGTAATGTAGAAGGGTAGATTAGTACGTGTAATTCTCTGCTCCTCCCAAACAGTGTACACCGACAGTTTGACTAGAAAGAAAAATAATTTGGTAATTCCAGTTTATAAGTCACGTGGTGTCAGAAAAGTAACGGCTCCTTGTCTCCTTTTGGGCCAGTCTTACTGTATTAGGAGGACTACTCCCGATATTCCATAGTCATTTTCATCTAAAAAAAAATTGTGGGAAAATTGCACCATTGAGATTGTTCGTGTAGCAAGTGAGTTGGCGCTTTTAATTAAGAAAACAAATTTCTACTAGAATGTTGCACGAATTTTAAATTTCTAACTTAATAAAATTAGGTTTCATTTTGAAAATGGTGAATCTTACATATTCATGTCATCAATTCATTGCTTTACCCATAAGATTTAAGTTTGAATGACCAATAGGCAGAATCAAGACAAGTGATTGTTGAATATCGTGTTTGTTTGAGATGGTTCCTCTTGGTGTCACTGTATTTATCTATTGGGATTTTCGTACAATATTCTTCTTTCGTGTTATTGATTTACATACATCGAAATTGAGAATGCCGATAAAAATAGTTGATATTTGATTTTTTATTTTTGCAGTGAATGCAAATGAATGCTTGTTGACAAGAATGCAAGAAATGTCTTTGGATTACCATTTTAAAGTAGAGCAAGAAGTGGGATCATCTACTCATGCCTTCTTTGGCTTCAATGGTGGGTTAATTATAATCTTCTTAATTGTACTAAGGTTTTTGCTGAGTAATTAAGTATGCCATTTTATGATATTCAACCATTTGAGGTATTTTTTGTGAGTCCTCTCAATTGCAAATGATTTTTATCCAAACATTAAGACCTTCGAAAATCAAAACTTATCAAGTCAAACTTGAATATGTGATTCATAATAGAACTTGGAAGAGGCGCCATATATAAACACTTATTTTCCGTGGAAAAACTTTCACTCTAAGGCCTCTTTGATTGCAACGAATTCCACGGAAAATAACAGTGTTCCTTGGTATTCAACGGAGTCAACGAATTCCGTGGAATTCCATGGAAAATAACAAAGGAAAGGCAGTTTTTGCCCAATGGATGAGGTACTAGTTTAAGGACATGCTTGTATAGAATTGGTTGTTAGTTGAATTTGCGAATGTTGTTGTCATAAATAAGGAAACGGCTACCTGTGTAAATTTTGTTTGAAGATGGATACTGTTGTTTGCAATCCCTCGATTCGGTTTCTATGAAAAGAATTTTTATTGATTACGAACTCACTCTGTCTCAGGCACCGGTGGAGTATGGAGAATTGCTGCAATAAATGAGGCAGGAGGGTGGAAAGACAGAACTACAGTAGAGGACATGGATCTTGCTGTTAGAGCTGGTCTCAAGGGCTGGAAATTTGTTTACCTAGGAGACCTTCAGGTATGTGATTTAGTCAAGAATTTGTTTTACATTTTGCTCGCTCACTTTTATAGTGTGTTTGGTACAGTGGGTTAGACAGTATCCGACCGTATTTAAGAAAAAAGTACTAAAATCTTGTCTACCGTACTGTGTAAACCTATCTAGTACACAGTAAATATTCTAGTAGAGAAGTTTAAAAACGGTGAATAGAATGGAGTAGCAGAGGAGGATTCTTGTAGCGGACTTGACCTGGAATTTTTCAGAAGTAAAGTTTTGTTTGTTGTTGTTGCTGCGAATCATCTCATACTGACTGATAGTCAATTCCTTAATAGGTGAAAAGTGAACTTCCTAGTACTTTCAAAGCCTTCCGTTTTCAGCAACACAGATGGTCTTGTGGTCCAGGCAATTTATTCAGAAAAATGGTGAAGGAAATTGTCAAAAACAAGGTTTGTGAATAATTCTTCTTCTCTTTTGGATTGAAGAAAAAATCAAGAAGTTTTATATGCTATTAAACGAGAACTCAATACATTTTTTGGTGTTTTCGCAGAAAGTTTCACTATGGAAGAAGTTCTATGTGATCTACAGCTTCTTCTTTGTCCGAAAAATCATAGCCCACATGTTTACTTTCTTCTTTTACTGTGTGGTACTTCCTTTAACCATTTTAGTACCCGAAGTTGAAGTGCCGAAATGGGGAGCCATTTACATTCCGTGCATAATCACAACTCTAAATTCTGTCGGGACTCCAAGGTCGAGTACTTGGCATTTTCATCTTGTTTCCTAATTTAAATCGTGCATTTGTGCTATAACCATGAGGAAAGTCTTTTTTTCCGTGTAATAACATACAAGAATTTGTGATGTTCAGGTCGTTCCACTTACTGTTCTATTGGATTCTTTTCGAGAATGTCATGTCTTTTCATCGAACCAAGGCAACTTTTATTGGTTTGTTTGAGGCTAAGAGAGCTAACGAATGGGTTGTCACTGAAAAACTTGGAGATGCTCTCAAGAACAAGTCGAATACCAAAGCAACACCAAAGAAATTACCCCTATTTAAGCTTGGAGACAGGTAAAAGTATCCTGCTATTCTTGTTTGGCTAAGCTTAAAAAAGTAAAATTTATTTTGTTAACGAAGTTGTTTGAACATGTGTTTATTTTCTACTTTTAAGTAAACAAAGTTATTTATTTGAATAATGCTATTTATAATTATGGTGATGGAAAATTGGCGACGTGGCAGTGTATGTGGAATAATAGGATTAGATAGTTCAATTTTTATAAAAGAGATGGGTGTTAAGATTTGGAGTTCCATCTTAAAAGGTCAACCTTAGTAAGATGAGTAGTTCAAACTCTTATAAATTGATCTATATTTTTCATCTTTATTCGATGTGAGATTTTTATCCCTCAACATAGATGAAACATGGTATCAAAGCCCGTTAAACTCTAATGAGCAATTTGATCCGATTAAAACTAAAAAAAAATGAGCACACGGATTTCAAGATTGGTCTGCTCAAAACGAGCCAACATCTTGCGAGGGTATGTTAAGGGATAAAAATCCTATATCGAATAAATATGAAAATATTGACCAACTTATAAATGATTGAGTTACCCATCTTAATATGGTTGACCTTTTAAATTGGAACCCCAAATCTTAAAAAGGGGGAGAGTGAGAAAGAAATGCGAGGAGTAACGGGTTCTCACATCACCATATTCAGTTATAGCATCTATTCAGTTATAGGCACCTTTTCCTCTCCTAGCTGCTCATTTCTTTGTTTGATGCTAGCATTCAGGAGTAGAGTAAAAATCTGTGGATTTTCGGGCAGTGCTATATTTAAGTTTGAACTTCAAATTATTGAAAAGATTTTTCCGGTTTTATGGAAATTTGCAGTCATGGTCGTCGAACTTTCACAAATAAAGCACATAGGTCTCTAATCAATGTTTGCCGGCCCTTAGTTCCTGAAACGTTAATTTCTGGTTCACATTGATCACTGAATGGAAAACCATCAATTTTTTCCAACAAAGAGTCAGTTGCCTTGCACACGATGACTCATTTGAAAGTTATTTTCTTCTCCGTGGACACATTTCCCTCCAAAAACAAGATATAATGTGCATAGTTCGTTTACTTGTTGATCATATGCATTTGTACTAATTAATTGATTGCATCGAGAACCAATACCCCATGAGGCAAGAATCTCGGGCGATGATCTTGATTGCATGAGTTGCCTAAATGCGTTTGAATGATAATCTAAACTGATGCATCTTTTATATTTTCCAGAATATTACTCCACGAGCTGGGGTTCGCGGTCTTTTTATTCGTCTGTGGATGCTATGACTTCCTTTATGGAAAGAACAACTATTTCATATACCTTTTCCTTCAAGTTATCACCTTCACAATCGCGGGATTTGGCTATGTTGGGACAATAGTCCCGAGCTCTTAACCAGTAGCAGTTCTGAATTCATTCGTGTATTATCAGATTCCTCTCTAAGATTTACCTTCCCGTACTTCAAGCCTCGACAAAATATAGACACCATTCCTTGACTTGATTGCATTTTGAAGATCAAATTGTTCATCTAATAGAGCAGAAAACATTGATTTAGTTCGACAATCTGCCTGGGAAATTGCTGAAAAGCAAAAAGGTTGCTGTTTTGGATCAGCAATTTATACGGTCAAGAACAGGTTGAGGCAGCAAAAATATCATAAAAATTAGGGAAAAAAATGATAAATAATGTGCCTTTTCCAGCTTATAATTCTTTAGTTGTGTGAACATTGTATTTCATTTGGTTAATCCATTTTATTTTAGAGTCCTTTCAGCTTATAGAGAAAATAAGCTGAAAATCACATGTATTAGTTTTTTTCTTTCCTTTTTTCATACCATTAGGGTGTGTTTGATGGATATTATTGAGAAAATAATGTATTTTAAATAGTGATATGATTTGAAATATGTGGTTAAAGAGTAAGGAAAAGTTATTGACATGAAGTAAAATATTATTTTATTGAAAAATGTGTGGTTGAAAATGAGTTTTGAAAAAATGTATTTTAAAAGAATGTGTACCAAACATGTGCTTAATTGTCTCTCTGTTTCTTTGGTCATATATTATATTAGGTTTTTTTTCATATAAAGGATCAAATTGAGGAATATATGTTTGCAAGTGTGGATGTAAACTTCGATTTGAGATTAGTACTTGGCAATGTTTCTATGGTCATATATTATATTAGGTTTTTTTTCATATAAAGGATCAAATTGAGGAATATATGTTTGCAAGTGTGGATGTAAACTTCGATTTGAGATTAGTACTTGGCAATGTTTCTTTGGTCATATATTATATTAGGTTTTTTTCATATGAAGGATCAAATTGAGGAATATATGTTTGCAAGTGTGGATGTAAACGTCGATTTGAGATTAGTACTTGGCTACGTTGTACATTGGAGTGGATAAATAATTTTGTCGCGTGCCTCTATTTCTTTATATCATCAAGTTGTGCGTATCAAATATGTCTAGAACATTTGTGACGTGTTCGATACATTATATTGAACAACAATAGATAGTATTAAAGATGAGATTAAAATATTACATATTATCAAACATCACCTGTTAAGCATTTCCATACTAACCACCCATAAGTGGTGAAAGTTAATAATATGGTCATCATAAATACATTTAGAGCTCATTTGGTAAAGATTAAAATCCAATTAAAATTGAAAATATAGTCGTTATTGGGTCACACTAATCTAGTAAAAGTCAACAGTAACGGTCAGTTTTTCAATTTTAATCCGAGTTTAATTTCTACCTAACACGTCCTAAGAAAAATGAAGGCATGATTCGCGAACACTATTTAGGGCCCGTTCGGTAGGGATTAAAATCAGATTAAAATTGAAAAAATAGCCGTTATTGTTGACTTTTATTAGACGAGTGGGATCCAATAACGGCCATATTTTCAATTTTAATTGGATTTTAATATCTACCGAACGTGGCCTTAGTTTAGAATAGTTGTTACGGGCCTGTGTCAGACCCGCTACCTCGCCCACCACGTGTCCATACACGTGGCCCAAGTCACGCGTCGAACGAAGTGATTGTATAGGGGACGAGCTGATTGCACATGCCAGGGTGATTGCATGAGGAACGAACTAACACGCGTCAGCGAATGAACCAGACTCATCCACAGGTACGCAGTGGATGCAAAGGCCCGCACTCCGCTTCTACAACGCTGCAACGCTTCACCTGTCACGCCTCGCCTCTACAAAGATCTTTTGTACAAAGATTTTTTCAAAGTCAAATCTCTGACTGATGGGACGTGTGGCAGGTCCTCAAACGGTCAAATCAGCAGCCTATGTCTGAAGCATTCAATATCAGTCGACCTATGGAGGGACAGAGTGACACCTAGGATGGGACGAGCTTTGAGGATCTGGCAACACGTGTCTCCTCATCCAACGGCCCTCATCTTTCCATCCTTAGTATAAATATCCTCTCCTTGTGCCAAAGAAAGGATTGGAATCCCATTTGCTCTCCTACATATTGCGAAACCAAGTATCATCCTCTCCCCTATATTTGTCAATTTTATCGAGACACTATATCGATCATTCCCCGGCGAGTGTTCTACCGCCGGTGAATCCCTTACCGGTTGAATATAAAACTGATTTGACCGTCGAGTGCTTGCGGCGGCTCCCACCCCCTCCAGGAGAGGCCACGAGTGACTAACGGCGTGCTCCATGTGCAGGAAGAGCTGACTTGAAGACCTATCCTGTTGGCCACGTGTCCGAGCCATTTTTCGAGGTCAACAATAGTAAACATGCTATACTATAGTTTGTATGTTTTTCTAATTCAAAATTTCAAATGTTCGTCTCTACTAATTCACTAACAAATTAAGTCTTATTCCACGAGCAAATTACTCTTTTCTATATAATTGTTTCTTATATATCTTCCCAAAATACTTTTGGGAGAAAAACCCAATCAACTACAATTATTATCAACTCCTAGGTATTGTACCAAATTTTTGTGATTAGACATAATATTAAGCTAATTATTGAGTGCATGGACATGATACATTTGAAATCTCCATAAGAAACTTATATGAGTAGTGCTATGGGTACATAGCTGCCCCTCCAATGGAGAGGCGCCACCTCGGCCTTATGTCAACCATTATGGGAAATGCTATGTACCAATAGCATTTCCCAACTTATATTATATTATGTACCTGTTTGGTACGAATTAAAATTCAGATTTTAATCTTAATCAAAGTCAATAATTAATTTTAACCACATCTTTTATAGATCCTAAAACTTTTCAATCATATATTTCAACAATTTTTATCAAAATTTACTAAAAATCTGATTTTAATATCCACCAAACATGGGCTATAACCAGGCACCCACTCCACGCCACCTCCTCCTTTTAAGCAAAAAAAATTGGCGTAAAATTGCTAATTTTTAATTTCTTTTAGTTTAAGTATTATCATTAGAGCCCATATCATTATCTTAATGTAAACTAGTACAGAGTCACATAATCCATTCGTTGCTTTGTTTGAGGGTTATTGAAACTTCAAGCTCAAGTCGATGTGCTACTTTTTTTCTTAAACCTTCAAATATAAGCCACTTGTAAAATTATACATTGCTCCATTAATATATTAAATAGGTGATTGATAACTTTTGTTGAACATCCAGTCTACTATTTCTAATTTAATTTTTATACTCATTTTCAACCACATATTTACATAATAAAATATTTTGCACGTTTCCAATTTTTTTTTCTATTTTTTACGATACATTCTCGAAAAATCAATCTTCAAAATATCATTTTTAACAATAAAAAAAATAAAGGCCATAAAACATAGACTCAATTTCTCTTAGTCTTACTTGATTTGATTTGTCAAGCTTAACATAGTATAATATTTAGTAATTGGCTGTTTTTCCATTTCAAATAAAACGAGTCATTTGTGGGACCATTTAATTGGGGAGTCAAGTAACTCATTTTTCATAAGTTGAGGATCCGGCTGTAATTTTCGTTAGAAAGTTAAAACAAAACTGGTGGCTGTGGGGTTCGAACCCACGCGCACTTATGTGCAGAAGATCTTAAGTCTTCCCCCTTAACCTCTCGGGCAAACCACCAAGATGTTCTTATCAATACTGGTCAATTTAGATAAATCAAAACTTATACTTTAGGGGCCCAACAAAATACCAGTGCAATGGCTGACCATCTACAGTTGACATTCGGTATGAAACGCTCGTCCGAGATATCTAGGAGCTTTCATTTTAGATTGAACGACGTCAACATTCACAAAATACACATTTTTATTGCATAATTTCTTAAACTTTGTTAGATGTATTAACTTCAACAGACCAAGTTCGATGTCGAGTTGTTGTGGGCTGGGCAACCCAGTTCATTTTGAAATTCCTACTTCGCTTTCATACTGAAACTAAAGCAAGCAGGGGCAAAAAGTAATGTCTCAAATCTCGATATATCAGACAAAAAATGAATTGGACGTTCCTCAAGTAGATGAATTTTAGATTGGTTTAGGCATTCAAAATCGGTGAGATTTGTTGCAGGAGTCATAGAGAACACTGGCTATGATCGATTTTTCAAATTGACTACAATTGGGCATGTGGAGGGAGTTTCGCATTGCAATATTCTACAATACTCGAGCAAGCAGATCATCAAGACTTCATGTATCTTATCCTATACAAAAAGTATCGATCAAGCTTCAAATGCAACGCTCTTATCTCTTAGACTAATACATGTATTCAGTTGCCTTGTCTTTTAATACAATTTTATGGGCATCCACGCTTAACCTTTGAATGAGAGACTACGGAGCATTCTCGGACTTAAATGTCCTGTAAAAGATAGAAATAGCATGAGAGTCACCAACACTAAATATCTGTTTTAAGTCATTGTCTAAAAACTTAAAATGTCGAGGGGACCGATAAGGTTGTGTTCAACCTGCCCTTACCCACGAGCTGAATTGGTGTGTGCGGTAAAGCTTTTTACAGATTATACGATGTTGATCTTTTGAAATATGTGGATAACAGTAATGTTTGACCAGCTTATAATTTTAAAAAGGCTTTTTGCATGAGTTCAATCCGATATCTTTGCTATATCTAATACTATGCATAAGCACCTCATCGACAAACTCAAGTTATTAGGGAGCACAAATTATACATTGCCCTCAATGTACGAATATACAGAACAAAAGATAATAAATAAAGCAAAAGAGGGATCTAGAGACTCGTCGGGGCGTATTAGTAGGAGGCAGAAATGGAGCAAATGGAATTGTAGTGGATGGACCTGGCTGATCAGCGGCATGTGTAAGTGCACATGAATATCATCCAGCTATTCGGCACATTAGCACGTATGTCCAATCTCCGGGGGACCTCACTGTATGCTCGGCTAATATACCTCTGTACAAGTGTAAGCTTCCGGACAATGGGGTCCATGGATTGCTAATT